CTTCAGCTTAGCATCTCAGTCTGGTCTGCTTCTGTCTCAAGCCAGCAGGAAGCTTTCAAAGGCAGGGAGGAGAGACCCTGATGGGGCCAGCTGTCCTAGTGACTAATGTGCTGCCCATCCTCCCCCAGTTTAGAAGGAGGGACAGCATCTCAGTAGCTCTCAGGCAGTCCAAATGCTATGCTAGCTATGGTGCCTGCCCAGGAGAGCCAGCCAGCAGACCTGTATAAGTCTGGGAACTCCTGACACAGTCTATTGGCATCCAGACAGGTCATTATGCCTTGTGCAACATTCTGGGTCACCAGAGGAACAATAGGCCAGTGAATCATCCTTGACAAGCCCATCAATGCTGAGGGATCAAAGGTGAGAGGGTGGGATAGAGAGTGAGGTCTGTGGCATGGGGTCTGACAGGCCAGGACAGTAGGTAATGCCCAATGACAGGTCCACGCCTAGGACAGCCAGGAGATGGACTCAATGTGGCACCCATGGGGATACACCAAACTAGGCTAGTGGGGGATTTCTGAAACCTGCAATGTTTCTATCTGGCCTTCTTGAACATTCTCCCTAGAAGAATAAGGCCATTATCCCTTCTCTGGGATGCCTGTGGCTTTCCCTCCACCCCCACCCCTAAACTTGTGTTGGCCTGATGATGGACTCCACCCATCCAAATCCTCCCCATCTGTTAAGGTGCAGCTCAAATCCCATTTGCCCCTCAAGGCCAGCCCTGGGCTTACTGCCCCTTCCCCACTACCAGGTATCCCTCTCCAAGTTCCTATAACCTTTACAACATTTGCCTTTCATTTACAGCTTATCATACATAGCCTCATGACAGGTCTGCTGCTGTTCAGTGTTGCTCTTTAATTATTCTATTAGAATGACAGGACTCTGGAGTCAGAGGGAATGTTAGAGGATAAGGAGACCAACCTTTCCCCTCCAGGAGGGAATCATTCTACAATATCTGCAATGCATGGTCATCCAACCCTTGTCTGAAGGGCCTCTAACTGAAGGGGAACTCACTACCTCCTGGTCAACATGATCTACTTTGGCACAACTCTAATTGTTAGCAAATTTTTCCTTACATGAAACAGCAATCAGTTCTCTGTAATTCTATCTTTGCTGTTAGCTCCTTCCTTGGGGGCCAAGCAAAATTAAGTCTAATTTCCCCATGATAGCCCATTCAATACTTGAATACAGTGACTGTGTGTCCCCTCTACCCCTATCCCCTAAACATTTTCTTCCACAGGCTAAACATCTCCATTTCCTATAATCTGCTCATCACTATGGCATCCTGTTCCATCCCTATCCCAGTCATCACAACTGCAGTTTGTCAATATTCTTTCTAAGACATGGTCCCCGTCCAAATGTAGTCTGAGGAAGACATAGGACTGTCACCTCCCTCACCATGAATAAAGCTCACTATTTCCCTCCTTTCTCAAATGTGAATTTATTTAAAGCAGGCCCTGGGGTCTGTTCCATCTGTCTTCCCCCAGAATATGAGTTCACTGAGGAAACGACTAGGCTCATTTCTTCTCTGTCTAGCCCTGAGCAACCAACCATAGGGGAGAAGCATATAGTGAGGACCAGAAAACATCACTGAATTAATAAAATGGTACTTTTCATGTCTGGCCATACTAAACAGTTCTCTGGTCAGTCAGGCAGACAATAAACATTTATTAAGCACCTACTATGTACTTTGAGATACAAAGGAAAGAAAAAGGCAGTCCCTGCTCTCAAGGATCTCACCGTCTAACTGGGGACTGTGTACAAACAACTCAAACAAAATATATACAGGACAAGTCAGGGATGCTGGCAAAATGAGTTCCCCTCCTTCCCTACCTATAAGGCTTCCTTCTTCTCAGAGACCCCCTTTAGACCTCAAGGCCCTCCCTCCTGATCCTCTGTGTGATCCACCACCAAGATTTTCCTTCTAGGACCCTATTCCCTTAGGTTCAGCTCCCAGGTGCTATAAAATATAAGGGAATGATCTAATAAACTCACTCACACTCTGCTTTGAATGACTGATAAGTATGTCATATATGTGCCCTCAGAAGACTGAGGAGAAAAACCCAAAGAAAGGAAAGTAAAATTCCAGGCATTGGGGCAGGGTACTAAGGGACATCAATTGGGGTGGCAGAGGGAACCTCCCCCATGCCCTCATATCTGCCCAAGCATAGGATTGACCTTGAGCTTTCTGTCTAATGGCCTTTTAAGGCAACTGATAGCTACAGAGTCACTTGCTTACTTGAGTCAGTAGGGACATGAGAGTAAGGCATGGCATCTTAAGTTTCCTCATGGCATAAGTTGTATTTAGGGTCTTCCTTTGGGGATCTAGATTTGCAGGGAAACATTACTTCATGCTGTTTGGACACATAGATTGTTTTTGGCTGTAGTTTCAGGCATTAGACATCTACCCTGTGAGACTAGGTTTCCACAGTTCCTCAGAAGGGGCTTAATCTTACTTTCCCCAAAAGATAGAAGGGGGCTATTAGTGCACAAGTTCTCAAATCTCTCTTCCCCCTCCTGGTCCCTGCCCCACTTATTAATACCAAATACCTATGTGGGGTCTATGAGGACACAAGGAAGGAAGGAAGGAGGGCCAGTTTTTCTTGGCCTCAAGCATTATCAGTATCTTCTCAAGACAAGAGGAAGAGATATGAAAGGCATAGCCCTGTGCCAGAACCAGTCCCCTTAGGCTGAAAGTATAGAATGTGCTTGAACTCTCCTGGGGGTCCTGGGTCCTACTGACAGCCTAGCTACAGAAACGGAGGGAGGGCACAGAATTGCTCTGGTTTTCTGAACCCAGTCTCCAGTCTCTCTTTTTAATGTGGTGAAGTAGATTGAGGTGGGAGTGGGGGGGGGAGGGATGTGGGAAATCCCAAAACCCAAATGATCTGGAGCATTTCCCCAAACATAAAACATAGACTCCTCCTCCAAGGGCAATATCTGGGGGTGGGGGATGCCTCCCCTCCCTCAAATCATTTGGTGTCTGATTCTTCTTGCTTCCATAAAAAGGCCTATAATAATGACTGCTTTGCCATCTGGGGAGGGGGAAAAAAGTAACAAAGGTTATAATTTCCGAGCCAAATTCTTCTTTTACAATGGTCCCTTTCTTTAGAGAAGCTGTGAGGGGCTGTGGTTAGCCAGGCAACAATGAAGCAGTATGTAATAGGGACTTTAAAAATTAATATGGAACCCTGGCATTTTCCAAAGATTAGATCTTAATCTTAGGTGCCCCTGGAGCAAGCGAAGAGGGTAACTGAAAAAGCAGAAGTTTTTTTTTTTTTAAAGTGGTGGGGGGGCAAGTGTAAAGAATAACATTGCAAAGTTGAGGGCAGAGCCTAGCAGCTGGGAACAGCTGGGAGGCCTCGGATGGCATTTAAATGTTCCACCCTAGACTCAGCTGCCACATACATGTATATAAGAATGCCTATATACATGTACACATATGTTACTAATATAGCTTGATGAGGACACACGCTGGGCTTTAGATACAACAAAGAGTAAAACTTAGGGCTTTTGAAACCCCAGTGCTTCTAGCCCTCTGCCGCTGTTTACATACCCACAAAGCCTTCTGTAAAAGTGGAAGCAGAACAAACCATGGAAATGAGAGGCAGCATGTTGGAGTGGAAAACATATTGGCTATGGCAAGAGGGGATTGGGCTAGATGACCCTTCTAGATGCTAAATTTATGATCCTATGAACGGTTTCTTGTTAATAAAGATGAGAGCACTAGCAACACCTTAACAGAAGGTTGAATGGGAGCATTGATGTGCTCTTGAGTGGTTTGGTGCTTCTAGTCCGTCAGTGACACATGGGGCACACGCCTTTATGCTTCATCACTGGGGTCTCTAGGGTCTGTGGAATGTTCTCTCTGGAGCTTTGGTATTGAATAAAACATTTATACAATTGTTCTGTAGTCAGCTTAATACACAGTCCATTGTCACTGCTGGGTGAGGGAGGGATAGAAGGTCTAGCATTACTCAGAATCTACAAAGGCTTGTGAGCTATTCAGAGGGCAAGAAGTGACCAAGACTGAAAGGAGTCAGGGCAGAGAGAGATGAGTGAAGAAGGAAGCAGAGAGCCTTGTCTAGGGACCCCTAGTTCTTTCCAGTTTCCTTCTTTGTGTTAAAACAGACATGTTCCCTTTCTCTCTGTTACTTTTTGATTCTCTGTTCTTCCTGTCCTGGGCAGTTCTTTTGCTCAATCCCAAACCCATTGACCAAATTAATTGACCATGAAGTCAAGACAACTCATAAACTTTTTATTCTAGGCATTGTGGATAGATCTAATGGTATGCCCAATAACCAAATTATTTGACCAGTAAGTCAAGATAACTCATAAACCTTTTATTCTAGGGAACATAGATAACTTAATGGAATACTCAATAATATGTTAGGGGCAAATAAGAGAGCAGGCTGGGGTTCACTGACACTATCTCAGACACACAGATATTCAAGTGGGACAAAATCATCAGAACCATGAAAGGTCTAGACGAACACTGGATATAGCTCATGCTTAAAACTAGCATTATGCAAATTGTAATATATGGAGGTAATGGAATATAACTATGCTGTAAGAGAAGATGAAGAATTCAGAGAAGTGTGGAGAGATTTAAATGCACTGATAGAAAGTGAAGTAAGGAGAACCAGTTAAAAAAAAAGTAAAACTGGTAAAACAAGGGAAGGGATGTATATTCAGAAATGAAGGTGATGTAAAAACAAAAGGCATTGATTAAAATTAAAAAGAATCACTCAGGTTTAGGATTATGATGACATTTCCTTGGAGTCTGTGGATCATCAAACAGGAGAGGCCCTAAACTTCTGGAAGATTTGTGAAACATTAGCAAGGTAAATGCAATTATCATCCACTCCAGCATGCTAGGAGGGGTCTCAACTGGTCCTTCGATAGTCCTCTCTAGGAACCTGCTGAAACACCCATGACGAGACAGCCATGTGTGCACCCATGACTTGAGACTGAGAACTATGGACTCCCACATTCCATACCTGTGGCTCCGAGTCTATGTTGATTCTGTAGGCTTGTGCTTTGCCATCATCAGGATTGCTAGATGACCAGGGCTTCCCTTCAGTTCTACAATAAAGAATTTAGGAGAGTTAGTAAGTACTATCAGGAGCCCAATCTGATCAAATTGTCTAGACAAGTAGCTTGTCATCCACTCAATTCCACAGTCCTTGCAGCTCAATGATGCTCAAACCTATTTAGGCAATCATGTGAGGCCTGAGGCGCCGGGGTGGGGGGAGGGGGGAAAGATGTCAAGATGCATGGGAAACACTTGTGGCCTTGGTGTCACTGAATTTAGATAAATATTCCATGAAGGCAAGGCACCAGGAAACCACAGAGGCTCTGCAGCCCCTTTTCAGCACAATTACATGACTTCATTCCTGAGATCTCAGAACAACTAGATTTCCTAAGTAATCAGAGGGAAGGATGAAAGAGCTACTTGACATTCCCCTTCCCCACCCCTCCATGTCATTGTCCCCATAATGAAACTAGTCTCTTATTGGAAACAGAAACCAGGAGAAGCAATTAAATATGAAAAAAATAAGAGGAAGACTTAGTACTTCCAATGTCTCATCATGTTATTGTCTATGGTACAGTTCAGCCCTTAATTATACACTGCCATATTCTGTCTTTTGTGTGAGCCCTGTTTTCTTCCCAGATTGTGAACAGTTCTTTGAAAGGAGAGCCTAGCCATCAACTCGGCAAAGCTAAACAAACCACAGTATATTAATATAATGGAATTATCATTGTGCTGGAACAAAAGATGAAGACTACAGAGAAGCACAGGAAGATGTTTATGAGTTGATGCAGGGTAGGAAAACAACATACACAGGGACTCAAACAGTATAAACAGAAAGGCCAACAACAAAACCCCTGAAACTAAATGCCATGTGATTATAATAAACAGATTTGGCCCTCTTTGCAAAGGTGAGAGACTCTAGGTGTGAAATATTGTATATACTAACAGATTTGTTGATGTGCTGATTTGTTTTCCTAAATTGCTTTATTTTTCCCTCCCTCTTTTGTTTTCTTTTACTCTTTGTTACAAGGGATGGCTCTCTAGGGAGGTGAGGGTTAGGGAGGGGAGATAGAGATATATTTGGAAATGAAGGTGATGTTAAAAAAGATAGCAATAATTTTTTTAAAGAAAGAAAGCAGGGGGCTAGAGTTTCTTCCTTTTCTATCTTCCCAGACCCCAAGCTTCCTGAGAGATAGGACTTAGGTCTACTTCTCCTCTGCTTCCCGTGAACTCTCAGCTCTCTGGGGGTAGTTCCCAAGTCTGATCCCCCTTCTATCTCCTCCCAGACTGTAACCTTCACAACAGCAGGGTCTGGGTCTGCTCCCCTTTCTGTCTCCCCCACAGCAGAGATTGTCATGAAGAGGCTGAGTGCACAGGCATGAACACAGTATGCTAGTGACTGAATTGGCTTTGCTGTTTATTTTTCTTCCCAAGGAGATGGCTAGAGGAGCATGCTTTAAAAAAAAATCTAAGAGAGCTTCAAGGCAAAAACAAAGAAAAAAAAAGCTAAAGAGGCAGAAGGTGTATCTTGACAGAGGCTGGAGAGAAAAAGAAAATGACACACAGAGGAGGAAGGGAAGAAGAAGGAACATCAGGCATTTGGAGTTAAGTAGCAGATGAAGCTCCTGCCATACATAGATGTGGAAACTGAACCCTTTCAGGAAGAAGCAGCTACTTGTGTCCCAAGAGATGATGATATAGATCTGTGGGGGTTGTTAGGAGAGAGATCAATTTAAAAAAAAAGAAGACCCAAACAGTGGTGGTTGGTAGCTCCCTGTTCAGTGGTAGTTTCAAGGTGGCTATTTAGGTTTTTTGTTTTTGTTTTTGTTTTTTGTTCTGGACCTTTGATTTCATCTATGTAGGGAATTCCCATTTCTAATGCAAATCAGTAACTTACAGTCTTATAGAGGAAGTATTGACAGGTCAGATGACTTGCCCAGGATCACACAGCCATTATCTCATAATATCAGGGACCAGAATTGAATCCACATCTTCCTGACGCCAAGGCCAGCTCTCTATCCCCTGCACCACACAGCCTCTCCAGCTATTTATTAATTTGTTGTTAATAATAGAAAGGTCTACTATTTTTTCATTGTCTATAGAATAAAATACTAACTCATCCAGAATTCAAATTTCACACTCTCTCTGTCCCAGCCAAATCAGAAGACCAGCTGGTTCTGAAACACAACCCACCATCTCCTCATGCCATGCAGTGAAAAGCCATTCCCCATGGCTGGAATGTACTTTCTCCTCACCTCTACCTCTCAGAATATTTCTCTTCTTTCAAGGCTCAGCTCAAGTGCCACCTCCTTCATGAGGGCTCCCCTAATTGCCTTCCCTTTTTAATGCTCTTTGCCTCCTCAGCTTTCTTTGTATTATGCTATTTATGTATTCCTCCCCACTCCCTAGTCAAATACCCTAAAGGTAGGAACTTTCCCTTATGTCTCCTAGTCTTTTAATAGTACTTTGTACATGGTAGGTATATAATTAATATTTCTTGAAGTAAATGAACTTCCTGCAGCACATAGACCTAGGGATGTGGTGGAGAGAATCCCAAGGCTTGGCAAACCTGCTAACCCCAACCCACTCCTGGTAATCCACATGAGAACAAATATTAGGAACAGAGCTGAGAAAATACTGCTAAGACCAATGAAGTCTTGAGCAAGAAAGACTTTAGGACACATGCGGTATTCTGATCCCTGCTGTTGATTAGAGACAGAGAGGCTTCACAAAAGAAAGGCAGATTTGGGAAGAAAACAGCTAGTATAGGACAATATTTGGATTTTTGGATCAAGGCTCAAAATATAGGGATGGGCTTGGCCAAAGATGTAGTATGCTCGATGGGCATTGGTAAAAATATATTGCCTGAGGTCTTACAAAGCTGTTCAAAATAGTTTTAAACTAAGAGGGAGGGGGAGGGAGAAAACCACCTATGTGTCTACAAAGCTAGATATCATAGAGAGTAGCAGCTCCAACACAAGGAAAAGGGCAGCAGAGATACCCAATAATTTGCAAGACAAAAAAAGCCCCCAAAAGGAACCAGCAATTAAACCAAAGGCCTTAGTGGTTTATATACAAATATACAAAGTAAGGGTAATAAGCAAGGTGAAACAGGAATCCTTATTCAAAGGGCAAATTTGATCTCATAGGCATTGTTACACTTTGATAGAATAAGATTCATAACTGGAATATCTCTGGACAGGTATATCTTATTTAAAAGCAATAGAAGAAATAAAGGATGATTGGTCAAGTAGTATTAAGATGATACATTGATATGACATAATCCAACAAACAGAAGAGGAAAGCACTAGATAGAAAATTTGGATAAAGATCAACAAAAGGGAGAAACTGAATTGATATTGCCATGGAGAAATTGAGGTGTTCTATAGACCACCTGGATAGAAAGAGGAAATAGATGAGAAATTAAGAAAATAGATCACAAAACTGGGACATAGGTATGACACAGTATTTGTGAGATACTTCAATTATTCAAACATTTGCTAGAGTCTTCCCTTGGTCAAAAGCACATTGGCTGATAAATTATTGGCTTGCCTTAAGGATAATTTCATTCTTCAAATTGTGGAGGAATCAAGTGTGTAGAACACCAGATCTGGAGTCAGGAAGACCTTACTTAGGCAAGTCACTTCACTTCTGTTTGCCTCAGTTTTCTAACCTATAAAATTGGGAAAATAATAGCACCTACTTCCTAGAGTTGTTATGAGGATCAAATGAGATAATTAAAAAAAGCATTTAGCAGTGCTGCTTGGCACATAGTAGGCATTCTATAAATGCTAGCTATACCTATACTTATTCTGGAAATGATTCTGATGAATGGGGATGGACTGGTTGATGAAGTCAAAACAATAACTTTGGAGAGAAATGACCATTCCATGTTAGAATTTTTAGTAGAGGAAAGAGAAGTCAAGCATCATCAGACATGCACCCTAGATTTTGAGCAGGCATATTTCAAAGGATTCAGAGAAAGGATAAGTAGAATCCAGTGACTTAAAATTCTACAAGGAATTAAGCCTAAGAAGGATAGAGAATTCTCAAGAATGAAATTCTGATGATGGAAACAAAAACAATTCTAATGAGGAAGAAACATGGGAATTCTTTAAAGAGGGAATTTATCAATGTATATTTTTTAAAAGATATAATTAGGGCAGATGATGGTAGATGAGTTAAAAAATGTATTTACAGTCTTGTGAGAATAGTGTCAGAAGCACTGAAACTCAGAATGAGCTCAGTCTGTTGGGGGTAGGTAATGTCAACCACAAGGTGTTTTTAAATGCCTATGTCAGGAAAAAGAGGAAAATAAAGAGAGGCTACAAACACATAGCTCAGGGTTCATGGAACACTGACAATGGATGATGGAGAGAAGACAGAACTACTCAACTCTTATTTTAGCTTTTCCTTTCTCTGCTAGGACAAATAGTCATTAGAATGGGAAAAACAGAACAAAATGGTTAATAAGGAGTTGGAACCCAAGGTAATTAATTAGGTGATGGTCTTCAATGATGGTTATGTGACTCTGATGAGACACATTGTAGGGTGTTGATATAATTGGTAGGTGTGATTGCTAAGATCTTTCAAAGATTATGGAGAATGGAAAAGGTGCTTCAGGATTGGAAAATGGAAAGTGTTCCAATTTTAAAAGGAGGAGGAAGTAGAGACTGCAAACTGTGGACCAGTGAGGTTGACTTTAATTCTGATTAAATTCCTGATTGTATGGTTAAAGTGACGGTAGTGAATGAACATCTAAAAAGGGAAGCAGTGATCATTAAGAACAAGTATGGCTTCATCACAAGCAGCTCATGCCAAAAAAGAAACTTAATTTCTTTTTCCATAGTTACCAGATACGTAGACGAGCAGAATGCTATGCACATAATTTACTTGGATTTCAGCAACTAAATCTATCATGTTATACTTGAGGACAAGACAGAGATGGGTTAACTAGGTAAAAACACAGTTGAGCAGATAAGGAGATGGTGTTTAAAAATAAAAGTAGTTGTTGAGTTAGATGTCATCTTGGAAGGAGGCTTCTCATAGA